AAAATGCGGATGGCGATGGTGGGCTGGGGTGGACAGGCAAACTGGTAGCTTGCAGCAGGAATGAATAGGAAGACAAGATCTTTCCAACCTAGTATGAAGTTTCCCTTCATGACCCAACCCTAACACTCCATTTTTTAATCTAACCGTACCCCCCCAAAAAAGAGGAATAAGTGCCTAAACTGGAATAGGGCCGGTAGGATAAAAGGAGAAAACGAAGAGTACCCCAAAAAAACAAGGAGAAAAAGGCCTTGACTAGTCAACTTTGGGCCTGTAAGTTCCCCTTCCCCCTCTGAAATCTGAAAGGTCCCAATTAAGTCAGGCCTGCCTGGTTGGTAATCAGAACCAGAAGTGGCCAGGCCACAGGGAGGGGTTTGGGAGGAGGGCACAAGAGTGGGGGGAGGGCTCCAGGAAGCCATGAGTTCTCAAGAGCCCCCCTTTCTCTTCACCAGATGCACCCCACTCCTCATCATCCCATCTCTGTGTGCTTCAAAAGCAATGCTGGGAAAGCGGGCCTTAGGACCAGGCATTAGGGTATCAGGCCAACACATCCCATCAATCCCAAGTACAGTCTTGGATTGAAAGCAAAATGGGGGGGGATCTAGTGCCCCTCTTTTCCCCAAAGCGTCCCCCCCACGCCCTTATTGCAGCAATTAGACCCATTAGTCTCCTAGCATTTCATGGGAACCAGATGTTCCCCCGCCAGCCTTGGTGGGGGCATGAAGGGGGGCTGGTGCCTGACTCACCCCCTTCTCTATGATCCCCACCACTAGGGTGCACCCCCCTCCCAGCTAGATCCTCGAGAAGCTGTGGTCCCAGGGGCAAAGAATGTGCCCCTCCCCCACTGAGAAGGCCAATAGCTCTCAAGCATCCAGCCTGCTCACCCCTCACAGTTCTACCAGCCCTTGGCAAAGTTTGAGTTTGGCTAGGACTAAGTTTGGGGACCGGGACAGCTTGCCACCTCTTTCCCGTCTTGCCACCTCTAGAAGAGGTCTGAGGATCACTGGCTTGGCATTCTTCTTGCTTAGTAACTCCTTTTTTCCCAAAGTCTCTCTCTAAAAACTGAAGGGGTATTTCAAACAGAAGTAGGCCCCGCCCAGGAGGGTAAGTCCTAAAGGCCAGTCCCACCTGAGGAGCACTAGGAGGGGTCTTCTGAAGAGGAGGAGGGAGGTGTGAAAGAAAGGAAGAGGCCCGAAGCAAGGACAGGAGGAGCTCTTGGCTGGATGGGGGCTGGGACAGGGTAGGGGGCCCAGGGGGGGGGGTGCCGCCTGGGCCCCAGCGGCGGCGGCAAGCTCGGCTCCCCCCGCCGGAGAGGTTTCCTGTTGCAATCAAAGCCCCGTTTGTGTCGGCCTGGAGCAGGAGTTGGAGCCGGAGGAGGAGAGGCTGGGAGGGGAGGGGAAAGAGGCAACCACTGGGGTTTTTCTCGGAGGAGACCTCACTGCCGCCTGCTTGCCACCTTCAACTGCCACAGCTTGCTTTCCTTGCTTCTTTCTCCAAGTGCCTGGGCCCTCTCTGTGTCTGCACCTGTATAGCTACCCTCCCGTTTAGGTCTGGGCATCTCCAGTTTAGATAGAACTCCTATTCTCTTTGTGCCAGCGGGCCTTCAGTGTCTCCAAGTAACTTAGTATGAAGGAGTTTGGGCTTCCTGCCCCACGGACACTGGCCCCACGGACGCTGGCTCCACGGCCATGGCAGTTATTATCGCCACAACATTTGGAGGACAGTCTGGGCCAGGTCTTCAAGGCCACACTATCCCTTCTCTGCATGTACAATCTATCCCTGCAGTCTTGAAAAACAAATATACTGCACATCAGTGCTCATCAGAGATACATTCACATGAATGCATGCAATTCAATGTGCATGCATGCACACTCACGGGTGCATATGCCCAGACACTCCCCTCTGTTTCCATGCACACAGGTCTATGCTTGCCTAGCTCACCTCGCCTTACCTCTCCCCTCCTCCACCACAGGGTTCTAAGATGCCTGCCTCACCCACTGAGGCCCAGGAGAGCCCTAAGACGTGGACCAAGGCTTTTTGTTTTGTTTTGTTTTGTTTTTCAAGACAGGGTTTCTCTGTGTTGCTTTGTTGACTGCCCTGGAACTAGCTCTTGTAGACCAGGCTGGCCTTGAACTCACAGAGATCCCCCTGCCTCTGCCTCCCGGGTGTCACCACCACCCAGCTGGACCAACACTTCTTAACAAGGATATCCCCAATGTGCCAGGGGCTGACTCCTCAATAAGATCCACAAGCCAACCCCCAAGGAGAAGCTCTTACATCATCTCTTCTTATCCTACACGAGAGAGGGCTGTAGGAGAGAATGTCATGAGAAACAGCGATTTAAGGTGAGTGTAGGTGAGGCATCAAATGTAGGACTGACTCGAAATCCACCCCTCCCATGTGTGACAGATCATCACAGTCAAAAGGGGACAGCAGATCAAAGGGAAGGAGAGGTGGCACCCTCTCCTCCTCTGGCCAGTCACTCTCCCACAGAGGGAGCTTCCCTAAACTCCAAGATTCCTGTCTCTCTTTGGCACAACCACTAGGAGCTGGATGCCCCACCCCAAGCACGCTGTCTGGACCTAGGCCTTCCCCTCCTCCCCACCCTCCCTGCCACTTCCCTGCCTGGGCCTGTCCCTTTAGGCTAGCTCCCCGCACCCTCTGCAGCTGCCTTCCCTGAGATTTCTCCTCACAGTTCCCATCCTTCAGGGCAGCCTTTGAGGATGGAGCTCGGCCTGGCACTTTCTCCTTCCTTGACCTCACTTTGAACCCTGACCTCCATCTCCACACATCCAGAATCCAAGGGCACAAGGAGAGCTTCCCTGGGTACTGGCCACGTCGCCAAGCCTTCTTCCCACTACCACCATCTTTCTCCTCTCTCTTTCCCACTACAGCTCCTTTAGTTTCTTCCTACAGAACCTGGGAAGATCAAGTCCCAAGAGCTTAAATTGTATGATTCTCTGCAAGAAATATGGGTGGTGGTGGTGCAGCAGAGTGGATCTGGTCTACAAGAGCGAGTTCCAGGGCAGCCAGGGCTGTTACACAGAGAAACTCTGTCTCAAAAAAAAAAAAAAAAGAAAAGGAAAAAAGAAAAAAAAAAGGAATAGTAGATGAGGCTTAGTCTCACTGGCATAGGATGGATTCATGGAATAACACTGAGGGGGCTGGAGAGATGGCTCAGTGGTTAAGAGTATTGCCTGCTCTTCCAAAGGTCCTGAGTTCAATTCCCAGCAACCATATGGTGGCTCACAACCATCTGTAATGAGATCTGGTGCCCTCTCTGGCCTGTAGGCACACATATAGGCAGATATTGTATGCATAATAAATGAATAAATATTTAAAAAAAACATTGAGGAAGAGGGGAGTCTAGCTAAAGTTTAAAAAAAAGAAAGTTTTATGTTCTTTCACTCGCCCTGCACGCCACACGGTAGCCCCTGTTGAGTGACAGCCCTGCCACAGGCAGTCCCTACCCAGTACCTCCTGACTCTTCACACTGACTTCTGCCTATGAACAGTCTCAGACACGCAGCAGACACACAAACTGGACATGGTCTGGGAGACAAGCATACTTTTCCAGGAGAGCTGCCAGCCCAGTGTAGTCACCCCTATTTTCAAAGTGTACCCCCAGAATCACACAAAGGCCCCCTCCTCTTTTACTGAGCTTCAGAGCTATATCTTTCTTCTTGTTGTTTTGAGACAGGGTTTCTCTGTATAGGCCTGGCTGTCCTCGAACTCACTCTGTAGAGCAGGCTGGTCTCGAACTCAGAGATCCACTGCCTCTACCTTCCGAGTGCTGGAATTAAAGGTGTGCACCATGCTAAGCTAAAGAACGTATCTTTATCTTCTTGTGTTTTCCTATCTCTGTTTCTCTCCTCCAGGTAAAGCTGTCACTTCACCTCTTCACATCCTGTGACCTTATACACAGACCCCTGTGCCAGAAACTAGAGGCCAAGGCTCCCCATCCCATCCCACCTCCCACCTGTCATGATCTGGTCAGGAGGAACAATCACCAAGTGGGCAAAGAGGGGTCCCAGAGAGCAAAACGAGGCTCAGGCCTTACTTGCTGTCATCATTCAAATGCTTAACTCAGAGGGCAGGCATGGGGGACAAGTAGGGATCTGTAGGGTGTGGCGGTGCTCCAGACCTGGAGGGATGGGAGAAGACCAGAACCATGGAAACATGTAGCCAAGGAGGAGAATGCTTTGGAGCATCCCTTGCACCGGTCTAAATTTCTTTCTTTCTTTCTTTCTTTGGTGGATCAAGAGCTGCCTCTTTGTCCCTGGGCTATTTCTGTCCTCCTCGGAACCTTTAAGAACATTCCCAGCCCCACACATCTGTAGGCACCTGGCACTAAGTTCCTTTCCTATTTGCAGACTCAGAACCTCCATCTCTCCTCTTCATCACAGAGCCAGCTGACAAACTTCTCAGGTTCTCTAGTCCCCTGTCTGCCACCCCCCACCTCCCAACTGCGTGTAGCCTTGAAGGACACCAGACTCTCCCTTGGTGTCTACACAAACAGGTTCCCTTCTGCTAGCTGAGTGACCCAGGAGGCAGTCTTAGGGCCCACTACTTTGAGATCATATTTGAACGGAACTCTGATTCACAGATCCTACCCTCAAAACACACCCAACTCCACTCCTACTGCCCCCCCAAGCATCATCATTCTACTAGACCAAGTCCAACTCCCTGCACACCTGTCCAACAAGGGTGTCCATTTTCTACATCACCCCCTACCCAATTGCCCTCATCCCCCCAAGACCCCTGAGACTCACACAGAGAGGCCATTTCCTTGGGGAGGTCAGGCTGGCCCAGGCCCCGGAAGCTGGGGCTCAGCATTTCAAATGGTGGCGACCCTCTGAGTGCCCCTGGGAAGGCGAAGGGGAAGCCTGCTCCTGGGTACCCAGATCCAGGTCCCAGGGCACCAGTTGCAAAGAGTCGCTCCTTATTGGTGGCCATGGTAGCTGCAGTGTGGGAATCCCTTGGAATTTGCAGTGGGCGGGGGTAGTCTTCAGCTGCAGCCCCCACCCATGCCCACTGCCCTGGCCTGGGAGGCTCCGTGCCCACCCTGGCTGGCCTGCCCACTGGGTCTCCAAGGGTCCTGGAAAGAAAATAAGAAAAAGGAAAGATAAGACAACACTCACACCACGCAGTGGTGGCGCATACCTTTAATCCCAGCATTTGGGAAGCAGAGACAGGCAGATGTTGGTGAGTTTGAGGCCAGCATGCTCTACCAAGTGAGTTTCAGGATAGCCAGGACTACACAGAGAAACCCTGACTTGAAAAACAAACAAAAACAAAAAAAAAAGACAACACTCACTCCGAGTGAGTTCTTGTTTTGAGACAGGGTTTCTCTGTATAGGCCTGGCTGTCCTCGAACTCACTCTGTAGAGCAGGCTGGTCTCAAACTCAGAGATCCACTGCCTCTACCTTCCGAGTGCTGGAATTAAAGGTGTGCGCCATGCTAAGCTAAAGAACGTATCTTTATCTTCTTGTGTTTTCCTATCTCTGTTTCTCTCCTCCAGGTAAAGCTGTCACTTCACCTCTTCACATCCTGTGACCTTATACACAGACCCCTGTGCCAGAAACTAGAGGCCAAGGCTCCACGGGAAGACCATGACCTTCCCTCAGCTGGTCCTTTGTTACTCTGGCTTGGGCACTTGCAGTATCATGGAGTGGGCAAAGCAGAAAGATGTACAGATTGTAAGAAATTCTTCCGTTTAGCTTCAAAGAAGGGTAAACTGAGTGTCTGAGGTGAACAATGATCTGAGAACATCTGGTGGGGAGATTCCTAGACCGCAGCATCACAACTAGACATCTTAATCCTCACATCTGTCCTGTGAAGAAGAAATTATGACTCCCATTTTACAGCTTAGGAAACTAAGGTTTAGTGACTGGCTTAAGGTCACGTGGCTTTAAAGGGTGAAGCCAAGATTCAAACACTCAGGCTGAGGATTTATAGCTCAGTGGTGGTTCATTTGCTTAGCATGTAGCAAATGCAAGATCCTGGGTTTGATACCAGTATCAGGAGAGAAAGAAAACCAAGCTGAGTTCGGTGATGCACTTGGGAGGCAGAGGCTGGTGGATCTCTGTGAATTCAAGGCCAGTCTGGTCTACAGAGTGAGTTCCAGGACAGCCAGGACTGTTAAACAGAGAAACCCTTTCTCTAAAAACCAAAAAAATAAACAAACAAACAAAAAGTAAATAAATAAAAGATAAATTAACTCAAACTCTAGCACCCCAGCAGCAGCAAGCCACTATCTCTGCTGAAACTCCTGAGTCCTATGTGGCTTTGGAGCGTACAGTACAATGGTCACGTGCAAACTCCCTAAACTGATGTCCCCACTTACTGGCTGTGGAACTTGGGAGGAGTTATTTCATCTCTCTGTGCCTCAATCTCTTCACCTACCACCAGAGAATAATACCACCCCCCGTTGGTAAGGTTGTTGTGAGGATTCAATAACTCGTCATGTTTAGGATAAAGTAGGGCACGTGTTAAATGCCATGTCAATATTTCATACCTTGTACTTCATGCATGCCTCTTTTAATTATCGTTTCCTTCTTCTGTCTTCCTCAATACTCCTTCTGTTTCCCCTCCCAACTCTTCCTCCGTCAGCCTACCCGCCCTATGCCCCTTACCACTCTCTTCTTCAACCTGGCAGTGCTGGTGGAGCTCTCTGTGTGATAACCGCCAGAGCAGAGAGCCCCGTCCTTGCTCTCAGTCCGTGTGCTGCTCCTCAGCCTCTACCTGTCTTTGGCCCCTGAAAAACTCCCCCTACATTCTTTTCTCCCTCAAATGTAGCTTCTCCTCACCCCTGAGATTTTTAACCTGAGCCCAGGAAATGAGAGAGGAAGCCCAAGAGAGGAAAGGGAAACCCCAGAGAAGGCCTGTGGTTCCCACCATCACACTGTAGCTAAGGGAGAGGAGCTCCAGTAACCAGAACTGATGGGATGAAGGGCAGAGGACCACAGCATGGGCATCCCACAGGTAGGCTACAGGCATTTCTACATCTCTTTCCATTACTAATTGTTTCTAGGATCAGCATTTCTGTCTCTTCGTATCTCTGCTTTTTCCTCCTCTCTTTCTCTCATCTTTCTTAACCTCCAAACTCCTAGGAATAAACTATCATAGCTACAAGAACCCAAACCCCAACACCGTCACCCTTCTCATGTGTGAAGAAGCCCCTGATCTCACTAGGTACCACCCATAGGCCCAGGACCCTCTTTACTCCAGTGTCCCTCAGAGTCCTAAAGTATCAACTCCAAGCATCTAGGACCCTTCCTTCTCCTTTTCCTTCCCTAGTCAATGATGTCCTCATCCCAAGTTAAACCCTGGTGGAGCCAGGGGTCCAGGGCCCCTAAGGCCCCTGGGCCATAGCTCAACAGGCTGGGCTACATTCCAGGTGAATTAACCCCTCCAGTTCCAAGAGTGATGAACTAGTAGAGCACCCCCAACCCAATTTCCCCCCGGATTCTGCATAGACTAGGAATAGGTTCTCTACTCCAGCCATCTTGGTCTTGGCATCTTACCTACAGATAAGAAACAAACCTCTAGGGTAGGCAGAGTTTCAACAGGAGGTACGAGGGAGGGATGCTCAGGCCCCAGGTCCTCACAAGGATATTGTGAGTTAAGCAAAGGGCAAGCCAACTCTCCCTGGCCCTGGCTTTCCTCCTTACTGCCTGGGAGGGGAGACTTGGAGGTGCAGAGGAAGCAAGGCAGCAAAGATTCTCTCTCCTAAATTTGGTCTCTCTGGGAAGGGGGGAGGGGCACGTGCTTCAGTCCCAGGTAGAAAAGGACAGCAAGAAACTGAAGATAGTGCAGAGTGAGAGGAAGTGCTGAGTGAGGGTCTTAACTGCCTGGGTTCTCCAGGGACCTGCAGAAGACAGAGAACACTTCCTCCCCCTTCCCAGGATGCCACCTCCGATGGTAAGACCTAGAAGGCGGGCAACTGACTTGGGGAAAGGGCTCTTACAAAGCTCCTTCTCTTAGAGATGAGGTGGAGTTGAGGGGAGGGCACGGAGGAAGGGGCTGCCGGATGGAAGGGGGCGTCTCCCCGCTGCCATGCCCGCTCCAGAGCCTGGAACAAAGCTGCTCTTGTCAGCTGCTCTCCACCCGCTGCCCCCCTCCCCACTGTATAAACACGACCACCTTTTTCCATGACCCCATCTCCAGAATGGGTGGAGAACCCAGGCATCCTCCGCTCCAGCCTGCGCACCCCCAGCCCGCAGGCAGGAGGCAGCAGTGGTCCTGGCTTCACTGGCTCGCTGCCATTGCTGGTGGAGTCTAGACCCCTGATTCCCCACCTCTCACCCTCAGGTGCCCTCCCTCTAACACACTGGCCCCAGGGAGGGGCAGTACCCAGGAGGCAGGCAGGCAATGCCAGTGGAATGTGTGTGGGCATCAGAGGGCACGGGCAGGGTGGGGCAGAGGGGGGAACTGGAGGTGCCAGTTAGGTGGCTTTCTGAGCCAGAGGTGGGGGTGTGCCGGGGTTGCAGGGGGCGTGTCTTGTGCTGCCTACTAGTTCTAAGCCTCTGTGGTGTGTGTGTGTGTGTGTGTGTGTGTGTGTGTGTGTGTGTGTGTGTTTGGGATACCCAAGCTTCAGGCACCCCAGACACACACACTCCCCTTAACCCCCTACAAGTCTTCCGCTTACTGACAATGGCTGTGGTCCTCAACCTCAACTCAGTGTTGGAAGAATGACCATAGGGGCAAAAGCCCCTTTAGCCTTTGAAGAGCAGGGTTCCATCTGCCCAAGGCTGGAGCCCTACAAGACCTACAAAAGGGTGTTATCTGAGCATTTTGTCCTGGAGTCCCCTCCTCAGCCATCCCTGCTGCCCCCTCCCCATGACCACCAACTAAGCATATTCTTACCCTCTGGCCTCTGCAGAGATTCCCTTCTACATACTGGGCCAGGTTGAGGTGAGAGGACCTGGTAAAAACAAGAGAAGCTCTGTCAATGGCACTCCAGGACCAGGACTCCTGAACCCGACCCAGTGTTCTAACTCTTCCTTTGTTCCACTGGGGCTTCCCCTCTAGAATATCCAAAAGAACCACCTCCACCCCTTCATTGGCTTACTTGTGTAGTTGGGGATAGGTCAGAGGGAACCCTGACCCAGATAGCCAGGACCACTTGCTAGACCCTTTCATGGTACCTCTGCAGAGGTGCCATTCCACTGGACCATCAGATCCACCCTTCAGTAACCTCCCCCCAGGGGGTGGAAGAATGCCACCCTTTCTCACCAGAGGGAATCCGTTCTTTTCTGACATTCCGAATACAGTATAGGTTCGTTTGCCCAAGACTTTCCCAAATGGTCTCCCTTAGTACTCACCAAAAATCAGAGGCATCATCTTTGGTCTGTCTAAAATCTTTCCTTTCCCTTCCCAGGTCACGACTAACTCCAAGTTGGGGCAGAAAGCCTCCTCGCAAGCCCGGCTAACAGCCTGGCCACCCCCGGAAAAAGAGGACCCCTGAGGCTCCCGACGTCCCTGCCCCCGGCTCACTTCAGCGGAGGACCCCTGCGTCCACAGCCAGAGGGCTGGCGGGCGAGCCGGCTTCCCCGCCTGACTCACCTGGAGGGGAGGGCGGGGGAAGGAAGGCCGCGGAGCCCCGAGGTCCCGGCGTCAGGCGGTCTCGGGGATGGAGCGCCGAGGTGTTAGGGACTCGCGGTAATGGGGGGCTCCAGGGGGGCACGGCTCTAGGCTGGGACAATCCCGGGGCCTCTCGGAGCCCGCCCGCCCACGTGACCGCCCCAAAATATCCGACACATTTTCTCCCAAACCGCACACTGACTCCGCAGGCGGGGACACGGAAAATATTTTCTTTCTTTTTCTCCCTCCCTACCCCCCCACCTCCCTCCCTGCCCGGCTCCCTCCTCCCCCTCCCGCCCTCGCTCCTCCCTCCCCTGCCGCCTGCCCCTGCCCGGCTCCCTCCTCGGTGCCCTGGGGCTGGGGGGGGGGGAATGGATGGGGGAGACTGGGCGGGGCGGTCCAGGACGCCTGGGTCTCTGCCCCTCCCATTTGCTGGGCTTTCGTGGCTCCATCCCCGGGAGGCCGGGCAGAACTGGCAGAGGTCAGTGTCCTGGGCTCGGTGATGCCAACCCTTTCTCTCTGGCGATTTCCCCTTTGCTGCCATTTGGGGAGACCGAGTTGTCTCTGGTCGCAGTATTCTGCCAGGCCCGTCTCTGGCACCTCCCAGGGTAGGCAGTGGGGGACGTGGACACTCCCAGGACGTGGAGTGATGGAGCGGGAGTATGTCAGAAGAGAAGGCACTGTCCCCTTTTCTTAGCCTCCACCTGTAGGTCAAAGCAGTCTCCCTTCCCCTGGCCTTCTCTGTTCTATGGCCTAGGAGCAAACTGGTTTAACTAGTGGGGGTTATGAGGGTGCTGCGAATTGGGTTCACAGACCTCCTCCCTCTCACTCTGCCTGCGTTCGGCTCCAGGAGTTGAGGCGCGTGGGTCTCTCGCTGCCAATATTGTTCCCACCTTTAGGCTTGGATTTGGAGGGGGAGAGGCTGGGAGGAGGGCTGGAAGAACACTGGGGGTGGGGGTGGGAGGAGCCTTGCTCTGGGTGTGAGGGAGAAAGCCCAGGCAAGGGTGTGTGTCTGGCTGAGCCAGCGAGGCCTGCCTGGCTGCCCGGTAGATGCGCCACGAATGTTGTTGACGCTGGGTCACTAGAAACCCAAAGTCAGTGTCTGTCTGATAGGGACGGTCTCTGACTTCACACAAACCAAGGCTGACAAGACTCTCAAACCTAGAGAGGGAAGCCAATAGTTCGACCCCATTCTACAGAGCACAGAGCCAAAGAAAAGTGAAGGCCAATATCTATGCACAGAACCGAAGCAGTCCCGCAGGGCTTGTCAGGGTTCGGAAGAGGAGGAAGATTGTTGGACAGGCTGGGCCAAGCACTAGCTGGAAGGACCATCCCTTGCAGCGCCCCCAGGGTGACCAGCACCTGGGGAATGGGCTCCTCAGTCTCATCACATTTTCCACACTGACATTACTCTGCTCTGGTCTTGCTGCCACCCTAGGGGACAGGTATCCTCCTCCTGGGAAAGACTTCTTTGGTAGCCATTATCAGGTGAAAGAGAAGGGGGAAGAAGAGGCATGGTGCATGCTGTGACTATCCCAGGAGACCAGAGACAAGTTCCCCTTTTCACTCCAGGGCTGGGAAGAGCTGGGAATAGGTACTCCAGGGTCCTGTCCCCAGGTGGCCTGGCTGCTGTTGACTTTTCTGGTTACCCTGGGAGCAGCTCTTAGCAGTGTGGGAGGGGTGCGTGTCAGGGAGTTGGACCCTGGCATTCAGGCTAGGGTGGGATGGGGAGCTGCCTGTGTGGCAGGGATCCTGCCAGGAGACTGCAAAGTTAACCCCTCCTGCCCTGGCGGAGGCTGGCGGAAGGAGGGGCGGGCCCAGTTGCGGTTTGGGAATGTGGCCCTAATCCCCCTCCCCACCCCACCCCAGCACATCTGTACTTGGTTTACAGTGAATGAGTCTCCTGTCCTCATGGACCAGGCCTGGGCACCATTCCCTTCCTGCCCAGGCCCTGGGACACAGACCCAGGCACCACCCTGCCCAGCTCTCTCCACTGGCTCTGACTTCTCTCAGTTCTTCCCTTCACCTTTAGAGGGTTTCAGGGCCTTGATCCAGAAACCAAGAGTTGGAGCTCTGAGACTGCAGCTTGGGGTAGCAGATGGGAATGGAGATGTTAATGGGGGAGGGGGGAGAAATATCCAAAGGGACGGTGAGTCTGAAATCCCATTGTTTCTGCCTCCCCGCTTTGTCTCTGTCTTTGTCTGTTACGGGTGTTTCTTCACTCGTTCATCATGGTTGCTGTAACTACTCACTTGAAATCTCCTTGTTTTAACCTATGATGGAGTGGAAAATGGGGAGGAGATGATGTCCAGGAATATTTGCCCTGTGACCTCTCATCAGTAATTGTCTCTGACCCTCACAAGACCCAACTGCTGGAGTGTGAAACAGAAGCTGTTAGCCGCAACAGGCAGGGCCTGGTGACAGAGGCCTGTAATCCCAGCTACTCAAGAGGCTGAGGCAGGGGACTCACAAATTTAAGCCTTGGGGCTGGAGAGCTGGCTCAACAATTAAGATCACTTGTAACTCTTGCAGAGGACCTGGGTTCAGTTTCCAGCACCCACATGGAGGCTCACAACCATGTACAACTCTGCCCTATTATGATCTCCTTGGGGATCAGGCACTCAGAGTACACATATATAAAAAAAATAAGAAAAAAGAAAAGCCAAACCTACAAGGTAAGGCCAGCTTGGGCAAATTAGTGAGATCTTGTATCCAAAAAAACAGGGCTGGCTAGCTCAGTACGACACTTGATTAACAAAATAAAATCCTAGGCTGAAGTTCCAATGATGCAAAAATAAACAGACACAGCAGACTAAGTTCAATTGCTCTCCTTTTTCTACTTCCCATCTTTCAGCTGAGTCACATTCTTTCCAGGGTTTTCCTCTCTGTCCCGATGAAGGGGACCCTGCTCCCTTCTCTTTCCCTAAGGTTAATCCTATTCTAGATTTTGCTGTCCTTCATTTGCTCACCATGGCAGGACAGGGAAGTGATCTCCTTGGTCCTAGAGTCACGCTTCTTCCTTTCCTACCCTTTTAAAAATCTGTTTATGTTATGAGCATGTGTGTCTGAGTGTATGTAAGTACACAGTGTGCATTCAGTAACAGTAAAGGTCAGAAGAGGGCCTGGGTGGTGGCCCAGGCCATTAGTCCCAGCACTTAGGAGGCAGAGACAGGCAGATCTCTGAGTCTGAAGTCAGCCTGGTCTACAGAGTGTGTTACAGGACAGCCAGAGCAACATGAAGAGACCTGTCTTGAAAAAGAAGAGGGCATTGGATCCTCTAGAACTGAAATTACAGACAGTTGTACTATGTGGGTGCTGGAACTGAACCCAGGTCCTCTGCAAGAGCAGCAAGTTTTCCCAGCTGCTGAGTCACTCCTCCAGTCCCTTTTACTACCTGCAGCAGAGCAAAGAATGAGAGTAGCTACGGGGAGAAGATTCACGAATGTCTTTGCCCTGTTACCCCACCCCTGCCTTTCACCTTGTCCCTTCCCACCAACATCAAGACACTGAATGGGTCGTTTTCTCATGCTCAGTCTGGTCCTGCAGGCATGTCCCATGCCACACTCAGAGATTGCTGGCAGATGTCTGTGGGGGCTGGGGGAAGCTGGGTTACAATCCCTAAGGACATCATTAAGGCACAGAAGTACTAGAGGGGCTTGGAGACCAGGGCACCAAGGGAGAATATGATGAAAACATGTTTTGTACAACACGTGTCCTTTCCTTGTCCCTCCTCCCTCCAGGCATCCTCTGTGCCCAGGTTGGTGCTGGCCCTGCCCTCAGAACTTATTCAGTACAGTACCCTGTGCCCTCTTGCTGTGCTTGGCAGCTGGTTGGCTCTGCGGATGTCCTCCCAGCCCCACTGCCTGTCCACCTTGGTTTTAAAGTACACCATTTTAGGGCTACTCTGCACTGCTCTAAGAACTTCTTTCAGGGCATCACCGTTCGTGAATTTGGCAAATTTTATTGAACAGACTACGCGCTAAGCAATGCGATAAACCCTGGGAATACTTATGTATGGTCCCTGCCCTCCTTGGCTCGCAGTCTGTTGGAGGTGTCAGGTGTTAACTAACTAGGGCAATCAGGATGGAGAGGCGTGCAGGAAGGGTGTGTTTACACCCAGCCAGGGGCATCCGGAGAGCTTTCTGGGAAGGAAGAAGAAAGGGAGAGAGGAGGGTAATGAAAGGATATCTGGAGTTGAGGCCCTAGCTCTCAGTCATATCACTCTGATAAAAAAATAATAGGGGTCCCAGTTCTTGTGTCACCCCCATGTCCAAAAAAGGGATAGTAAAGCCTCCTCATGGCCAAGGCTAACTCCAGGATCCATGATAATGCTGTGCTAGA